GGCAGCGATAGCAATGCTCTAACGCCAGCGTTTAAACTTCCAGGTGAGGCTTTTCATTGCACAAGGGAAAAATTTTGCAAAGTGCAGAGCAGACAGGCTGAAATCCCTGCTCCGCTGAAGCCAGCGGGAATTTTTGCCATTGGCTTCAGCGGGGTCAGGATTCCTCGGACCGGATTTGTATTGCAAGAACCTCTGGAGATAGCGGCATTGCTAAACCATCGCAACACGCCAGAGGCGGCAAGGCTCTGCATATTACTTCTCCGACACTCGGCTCAGAAAAGTAATAGTTCAAAATACATCAAACGCCACAAGCGTCACTGGAGAGGACTTTAATGAAAAGCAAACTTGAATTATATAGAAGAAAGTTTGTAGCAGTAGAGAGGTAAAGGTATGATACGGCTGGGATTTCTTTCAGCATGCACCTAAACATGCACACGCACACAAGCCAGGGCATTCTGTTAGTTTGTGAAAAGAAATGGCTTTTCAAAATTAACTGCATTTCACATTTCCTTTATTTTACAGTAGGCACATTTCTCCCCACTCCTAGGCACAGCGAGAAAAGCCTGAATTCCTCTGTTTCTCAGACATCTTCAAATTATTATCTACACTACAATGCTTTTAACAGCTTGTTTTTTCTTTCACGCAACATTTCTTATTATTGTGACTGCACACTGTGATATCTTTAGCAGTACTTAATGTCCCTTGGGTATAGATTCTGTCTTGCTAGATCTTAAAGTATATGATATAGATTTGGGATAAAAAGAATTTGCATTTATAGAAGAAAGCGTGTAAAAATCAAAGGCATGCATTTAAAACCCAGCTATTATGATTAGCCATTTGCTGAATTAACAGTTAATATAAGCAACCTTATTAATACATCGGGAACTAAGAAAACAAGTTTGCAGCCTGTTATTGCAATACCTATAAAAGTGAGCCCTCATGAAGTAGGGAATTAAGCAGTGCCTAATGGGGAAGCAATTCTCTCTTCTGCAGAGTATTCCTCCGTAATGCTCCGTTTGCTTTACCATCCGAACGTCCCATAAAGCCAAGAGGACCAAAGAAAAGCTGACTGTGAATATTTGCCTGGCTTCAGATATTTGGAAGAGGGTGGGAGGTTTTTTTTTGTGTACCTTTTGAAAGTAGCAGTGAGATTTCTGTCACTGGTGATGCAAATGCTTCCCATATGCTGTGCTGCCTCCCTGTGATTAACAGCGCTGTTTGTCCTACGCATTCCATAGGGGACAGTTAAACTGAATAATGGTCACAAACTTGGAGAAACATATACACCAGGATGCATACCATGCTCTAAAACGCCTTTTGGTTTGCATTTATTACCGACCTAAAAGGCACACGCCCCGGAATGTTACGATAAGGGCGAGCAAGCTATGCCATGGCTCTTTCAGGGGGAGCTGTGCTGTGTGTGACGGCCGGGCAGAGCGGGTTTGGGGAGGACGAGGAGGAGGATGGTCCCCAGTCGTGCTGGGCGAGGCAGGGCACCGGGCAAAGCCATAGACTCATGTCACTGTGTGCCTGGGGTGAAACTTTGCCCCTGCTGAAGCCCACCAGGATAAACGCTGCACCCCGACCAAATCGGTGGGGAACACTCACAGTCGGGGAGCGAGACCCCCTCCAGGACCCCAGGCCAGGGCTGCTGCGTTCTGGACCATCCCTTGAAGAGATTTGAACTCCCTCCCGCGTGCAAGCAAGTGAAGAGCTTTTCCATGGGTTAATTACAGGAGTGTACGTAGGGGAGGCTTCTCCTAGCTGAACGGGCTTCCTAAGTGCACTTGGTGAGTTTTAACACCATTTTCGTCCTGGCTATTTTAATCCAGAATACTGGTCAGCCAACCTGTGTCTATCTTGGGGACATACAGCCGGCTTACACTGCCACAAGATATTCAGTTTAGGGGCAGCCAACCTGTGCTGTCCTTATATATTCCCCTAAGGGATGCCACGAGCCAGGCAGCCTGTTTGTCGTTTCTATGGGGTCTATACGTTCTCCCAGGAGTGGTCCTTTCTCCACTGATGAAGTCCATCGCCGAACTGGCTATGGAGCAGCTCTACCTCATGCTCTACCTGTGTTTTTAGACAGGGCTGGATTTCAGCTTGTAGCTGAAATATGTAAATACCAGACAGCAGAATAAATATTGGTATTTTTGTTAAGTGAAAGGTAAATGGCCATAATTGATACCACTTAGGAGATGCAAACACATTAAATCTGACATTTCAGTGCAGACACAAGCACATTTAAATCTTGGAGAAAAATAACTTTTATCTTCCCTTCTGATTATTTCGGATATATTAAAAATGCTTTGCTGCAGGAAAGTGGATTCATAACAATCTTGAAAAGAATTACCCAGCCTCTGAATACAAAACATCTGGAGAGAAAAAAACCTGGGAGCAGAGCACCAGCTTAGCAAGTTGCCGACCGGGATTAATTTTTAACCATTCCTGTATTTTTTAATCTTGATTTTTTGAATCATTCCTTTTCCCAAAAGGAAAAGAAATACCCCACCACCACTAAAGGCATATGCAACGGGTCCTGTGCATATATGGCGACAAGGAGGATGCACTTTTACGCAAAAACCTTGCCTTATTTCTCACACAGACTTTTGCTGGTTTACCCAGGAAAAAAGGCAGCCAGCTCACAGCAGCTCGGCTTTGGGATTACCTTTTGGAGGCAATTAGACCTTCAGAAAGCTTTTTCTGATAGTATCTAAGTGCAAACTGATCACAGCTCCTATTTGCAACAGTGTCACCGGTGATGGGAAAGGTGACACGGCTTTTCTGTTGCCCATTTAGGTCCTGATCTACTGGGTATTCAGAGTGCCAAAGCCCTGCCTGTCTCATAGTCTTAATAAGAAGTTCAGCACCTAAATCCACCTGAGCTCTACGGCGTTAAATCTTTCGCAAAGCCGCGCAAGCCCTGCACACGTCTCACAAGGACGGCCGTGGCCAGCGCTCCCAACATCTGAGAGCCCCGCTTTTCACCTGTGGTGGGCAAAGAAACGCTGCCAGCACGAGCGAGGAGCAGGACGCAAGGAAACCATGTCAGAGCATTTCACGTGGCTTTCAAAAGCCCGGTTTGATATTGCAGAATGAGTGTCTCTACCCCTTTATTCTTTCCCCAGGCAAGATGCCGGCTGGCTGAGCATGTATAGCATCAGGGACCTGGGCTGAGCAGCTACCCCTGGAAATGTGCTGCCTATTCTTAGCCTTATCATTAGCATACAAATATTCCTTAATTGCCTAGTCACAAGAGATTACCTCAGGCCATAAATCACCTCATCCTCCTATTAACTTGGGTTTCTTTCTGCACTTGCATAAAATTAACTCCAATCATGCGGTGGAATGTTGGGATTTTTAAAACACTTTTATCAATTAACATTAGTGTATTTTAACACAATCAAAAGACCATTACATTATTATGTTTACAATTATTAGCTGTAAAAAATTGCTTTCAGGAGCAGTCACTTTAAATAAGGCGCAAATCGGATTTGATAAGACTATCTAAATGGCCTCCCGTGTCTTTTCAGTCTAGCTTCCTGTATAAAATTGAAATTTCAGTCCTGCAGGTAATAATATTGATTTAATTTCCAATATGAGAGCAGTACTGTGTATTTCACAGGGCTATGCAGAGCTACCTGGGTGGGCCCAGGCATACCTTAGGTAAAGGACCCTGACCTCAGTAACTGAACCTCCCCGGTGAACGCACACTCTAGCCCTTTACACACGTAGTGGGAAACATCCCTATCCTATAAATTCAAAGGTAAGCATTAAAAAAAAAAAGTCTGAAAACAATCATGGAGCATCAATAGGTTTATTGTCTTTTTTTTAATAGTCGACATTAAACCAGAATACAGTGTCCTAGCCCTAACATTTGCATGTGTGCCTGCAGCAATGTTAATGGTTTATCTTTCAGGAAACTTGCATACAGTGAGAACAGGTATTTTTGTACCTTAATTTGGAAGACAGACCGCAAGAGAACATGATGTTTTACAAGTTAACAGTTCATTTAGTTTGGGATTTTCAATAATTCTGCTGATTAGCACACTAATGAGGTAGAGGGAAAAGCAAGGTTCAGAGATAAAAATGTGATGCAGCAGTTTCAAGGTGATGACAAAGACGTTATTTTCAGGAAAACATGGATTCAAGGTATGCTTTCAGCAAGCAAGATGCTTAATGACTGCAAGCACTTTCACATTTCCAGCAGCCTCAGCTTTATGCATCAGTGTCTGACTTTTTAATGAAGCAAAATCAAGTGATGAGCTTGTTAAGAAACAAAAGGTAGTGAAAAGCATTGTTAATGAACAGCTCTGATTATTCTTTAGGCTTTCCCAGGAAGCTGATAATAAAATTAGTTTCAGATTTCTCAAAACTAAGGAAGATTTTGTTTGGGATGTGACATATTTAAATAACAGCGATATTAAAAACATGAATAAATAGTAGATTCTCTTTGATATTATATACTAATGCCTGTTCTAGCAGAAACGTAAAATATACAACAAGGAATTTGCTTTCAGATAGACACTACAAGCAAGTTGCCATGTTTTTCAGCTGGTACAAATCAGTGCTGCTCCACTGCTCTCCATGAAACTACACTGTTTTACACCACCTGAGGATTTGGCCCAAAACTTTTATCCTTGAAAAATTCAAGAGGACAGAAATGATGGGAAAACCAATTTCTAACCAATTTGATGGAGAAAGAATATCAAAAGGTGCAAAAGGGTATACAACACGTCTCACCTGTCCCCAATCTCCTGCTTTCCACTTCGGACATCTGCCCCCTCTGCATTTCTTTTGCATGTTGGGCTTAGCAAGGTGCTTGCAATAATCTTCTTCTACATGCCTCCCTTCCTTTGACAAACAGTACACATTGCGGTGCTTTTGGCCCCTTCCACAGGAGACAGAACACTGTAAATATAAAGTAACAACACATCAGCTTTCATGCGGGGCCATCTACGTGGTTATACACGGGCCATGGCTATCCAAGGCATTTTCTTTTATCTGGACCAAAAAGCCCATCCCCAGGTGCCCAGCAGCCTACACAAAGCTTAAGGGGAATATGGAAGGGCAGAATGTAACTGCTGGAAATGCTCCCATTTGGACTTAATATTGCATGATATTCTTGGTCAAAGCACCCCAAAATGCCAATATCAAAATAGAGAAAGCAGCTGACATTCAGCAAGGATAACAGGCTGGATTCCTGGCATTGCTCCAGTGGTTTCAAAGGAGCAGAGTCATCTTACAGGGATCAAGACAGGAGCCTTCAGTATCTACTCAGAAGAACTTGAAAGGAACCATTTCCATTTACCTTGGTACAAAGGGAGGTCAAATGTTGGTAAATCAGGAGAGTAAAGAGCAATATATACCTTCACAGAAGGAAATAGCTGCACAAAGGACAAGGCAGAAGTGAAAAATGCAGTCTTTCCATGTCCTTGGTATTAAAGCTCATGTTTGTTTTACCAGTGCAGACTGATTTGCCTTTTTTTTTTTTTTTTTTTTTTTTTTACTCAACAGACTGAAACCAGGACATGCTCATCCTTAAGATTTATGCATTTTGAAAACAACTCAGAAGGTGGCAAGAAGGCAGAGCCTGAAGAATCAAAGCAAAAAGCAAATCAGCAGGTATGTTAGCTGTAAGCTTTGTAGTGAAGCAACTAATTTCAACCTCCCTCTGCAGGTTCACTGAACTTTTTCAAATGTGACCACTTCTGGCATGCAAACCCCAAGCAACTTCACTTTGATTTCAGATTAGTCTCCTCCAAAAGATTTAGGAATCAAAGGGGTCTGGAATCACGACAAGAATTTAATATGACAGTTTCGTGTAGAACAAGCCTCTTACTCAGCATGATGCATCCAGAGACTCAGCTTCAATTTCTTCATTACGTGTTATGCAAGTCATTACATGCTATGTCATAAGCATCCCAGTTTGATCCTTGAGCACAAACACACCGTTTCAACCATCTCTCGATATAAAATGTTTTGCTTTCTTTTCAGAATGGAGCAAACATGCAACGATGAAGCTTCTACCTTCCTTTTAGAGCCACTCCATTAGTATATTTCCTAAGAAATAAATTACAGCCCAAGTTCTTCCCAGACTATGAATATGTTTGAAACCTAAAAACCTACCATTTATACATGTAGCAGCTCTGGAAGATTCATTAGAATAGAAATTGGCATATACATTGACAGCCGTGATTATTTTAAATTACAGCCCTACTTCTAACTCATTCAGCCCCTATTGTGTTAAGAGGTACACAAAGAACCAGCGAGAGAGTAGTAACTTGCTCTGAAATGGAAAAATTCAGACCAATGTGGAGAGAGATAGATGTAACTCATCAGATCAGATGTTGCTGCTTAAAAGCTTGTATAAGTGATGTCCTGAAAAAGACTTTTCCTGCTGCAAGACTGTTACAGATCGACAAAAGATTGACGTCCCTTGCCATCAATAGGGTTTAAGGGCCATTAATGATGCTCCTCTGCAAGAGGCGTTAATGATGCCCCCCGGAAGGGGGGGGGAAAGCCAGAGGAGCCTGCAGCAGGGACAGGCTACTCTGAGTTTTCCTGAGCCCAGCTCCAATTTCAAGATAGGCCAAAAACCCCAAAGAGCAACGGTTCAACCTTGCACTAAGAAACAGAGGAAATGCCATCCCTTGTTCTAAAAGATGACTTTCACGAGTTACCCAGATTCATAAACTTCACTTTTTTCTTTAGTATCAACAGAAAAAAAGATTGAGTTAATGTTATCCTATTTTCATAAGCCTTCAAATTTCATCAGAAGTTCATTTTTTCATTCTTTCTACATCTCTCGCCAGGCAGCGAACATCAGCAGCAAGAAGAAATGTCAAATCCTACCAAACCCAGTTGTAAACTTTTAATACTTTCATCCATTTACTCTCACTGGACTAAAGACCAATACTGATACGTTAGCAAAAATGCAAGTGCTCCTCAGTAAGTGCTCTCCATGCAGGTTGATGCCACTTTACTGGGACAGCAAAAGCTAAAGAGTAAATTCACAGACTTAATCAGGACTCTCTCTTGCCCTGCATCCCGAGCCGGTACAGCAAACTGCATCTTTTCTCTAATTAAAAAAATAGATTGGATCCACTACTTATTCTAAAGGGAGAATAACCACATTGTGCAACAATGCGAACATGTTTCTGGGGATCTGAAATTGGTTGATAAATATCTGATCTCACAATTAACATGGTGCTAGTCTTTTCCGAAATTGTTATCCCCCTTCTACAAATCACTTAACTTTGGCACAGAGCCCGATTCTGACATTTGTCTCACCATCCCACCGACAAACAAGACTGCATGCATACCTCGGTGCACCCAGAGGTTGAGGCGTAATTTGCCTAATTTTGTTAATACTTAAATCTAATTCCCAAGATGCTGGAATTAATCATTTCTATGTCTGTCTTCAATATAAATCAAAGTTAGGCAGCTGTGCATTTTTAGATCTAAACCATCCATTTGCTTTCATGCACATGTGAGTTATGATCCCATTTGCACTGCCAGAAAAGAGGGGTTGAATAATCTAATGTAACCAAGTATCAGAGACTGAAAATTCCTTTACAAAGAGTCTACTTCATAACTGCCTTCTAATTCATCTCAGGTATTTCCAACTTTTATTTGGCATGTAGATTTTAAGCATATGTGAGCCACATGCAGAAAATAATTTAATAGTGGGCTTTATCTCAATGCCACGTGACTGAGGGAAGCAATACACCTAGCTACTGCCATCAGCCTCACCATTCATTTCAGACCCTGGAGAAACTTTGCATTTCACTCTGAGGACTCTTTATCGCTGCAAATGCTGCCACCCACTTACGATATCTATCAATAACAGCGCCATAGAGAGGTAAGCTTTGACCTTGCCTTCTTTAAAACATTTGAATTGCACAGACAAAACCACCCCTTTCATATGTCCCTTTCTTTTGCTTGATTTCTTTCCTATCCCCCACTGCCTGTAGAAAATACTTCAAAGTACTGGGGATGGACGGGTGGCTCTCTGTGGAATAGCAGCCTCATCCAAGGCTCTTTGAAGTCAACAGAAAGACGTCTACTGGTTTTAATCACCTCTGGATCCAACCCTGAAGGTGTAGCCAAGGTACTGTATTGACTTTTTTCACTGATCAGCTTCCTAGAGTCAAGGATGACATGCACTTGAGCATGCCCATGGTCAACCTGCCTCTGCCTCCACTCAAGTACTGGAAAACATTGCTCTGAAATGCTGTTTCCAGCCTGTGATTGAGGCATGATAGTAAATAGCACCCCTGGGTGAACCCGGGAGGACAGCCCCGCATAGAGGATGACGCAAAACCAGCACATTGTGTTGTTTCTTAAAAAAAAAAATCCAAGATGATTGTGGCACTTAAAATAGTAGAGAAGTACTATTTCAAAAATCAGCTCCAGCCATTGCAGTAAAGACTCTAGTAAACCTTCCTCTTGTTATTATCTTTATTATCTCCTAAAACCACTGCAGTCACACCTGGTGCTTTACATGGAGAAATAAGAACAAAAGGACTTTCCTAAGAGCATTAGGATCAAAGCATTTGAGCACAGATTTAAGGGTATTACGCTTATTGCATGATTAGTTTTGTTCACATGCCAAGAACCGGGGATTGGCATGCTGCTGATTTTTTCAAATAAATATACTGCCTAGTTTAAATAAATGCAAGAAAAAAAGTTTAAATAAATATGACAAAAATATTTCCATATCAACTGTTTCCAGAAAGGTCAGAACATGATGCTAAATCTCTCCTGCAATGCATCGCCCTGTTCCAGCGCAGCAGCAAGTCTGTGTTTTTGTTTCCACAGAAATTTGTTTTCTGTTTCAGAGTTCAGGAGCAACAAAGATTATTCTATTTTACCAAGTATGTGCAAATTGCTTTAAACTAAACCTTGCTGCATTTCCTATTCTGATATTTTGGAATATGAGGGTACATCTTGTTCATTAAGACCTCTCTAACATAGGAAGGCTACTACCCGATTCACTGGGCTGGTAGCAGAAAAAAAACAGAGTATGTATCCCAAAAACTCTTAAAAATTTACAAAATTCCTAGCTGGGTGAGCCCAGGTTCCAACCTTCCTGTGGGAAACCACGACCCGCTCGTGCTGCGGCCATGCTGCTGCCAGGCTGAGGGCTGGGAGCAAGGTCGGTCTGGCACCAAAAGGACTCGGCAACCCTGGCAAATTTTCACCCAATTTGCTGATGAGCAAATCTTGGTGAAAAGAGGAAGCGCAGAGCAATCAAGAGCTATGGAGTCATTTTGCTTCTCCTTAATTTTCTGCACTGAATAGGCAAGCTCAACACAGGGCAGAAAAGCAAACCACCAGCGAGAACCTGGGGATGTGCTTCCCGAAAAGTGAAAAGTTTCAGAAAATGCTGTCCGACCACTTTTCCAGGCCCCTGTGCATCAGCCGACGATTTGGGAGGTATTTGAGATAATGAATGCAAGCTGCGGTGATCACCAAATGAATTCCCAAAGATAGGTATGCTCCGATAGCTCACCAAAGGCAGGGCTGGGAAGAATTAGACTAAAACCGGCTTTATCAGATTCTGCCAGGAGCAACTTTTTGGAGGGAATTAAAATCAATCCTTGTAGGCTTAGATTTCCATGAATTAAGGATTATATGGAAAGTAAGCACTTGTAAGTAAGCCCTCCTTCATCCTTTCCAACAATCTGAGCTGAAACATGTGCTAGATGAAATAAAACAGAAAAACAACAGAGCCCTGCAACACTTTACACCCCTTCCCATGAGGGGCTGTGCTCCTGGATGTCAGCAAACTTCTCCAACAAGCAAAGCCCAACCATGTACCCTCACAGTCACATTTCAGCATCCTATTAGTCTACGTCAGCTCTTACTATAAGTCATGCTGCTGCTATGAGATGCTGAAATCCCAG